GGGCTCCTCGGGCTTGACCGCGCCTGCCCGTCGCTGCTGCTCAGAAAGCAAAATCTGAAAACTGAGGTTATGGAAAACTTTATACGTCTTGAAGCAGCCACGGAGCCCGCGCTCCTCCAGCTCTCTCCTCCCTGTTACGGGTCCTTCTCTTGCAGGAGACGGGCTCGTCGGGGTCTCAGAAGTGAAGCGCCGCTGGGAAGGGGCCCTGTTTTCCTTGCCATGTGTGGAATCAAAGCTGGGCCCTTCCCCCAGCTCGGCTTACGGGAATTTTGCAGCTGTAATTCCTGACATGTGCTGCTCCGAACATGCCTCCTTCCCCCAGGGTCGGGGCTGCGGGGTCCCTCCCAGCCCCTGCACCGGGGGATGCCGAGGAGCCGGGGCTGAAGGGGAAGGGCAGAGGGGAGATGAGGGCACCAGTCGTGACTGCCGCAGCTCAGGGTCGCGGAGAGGTGGAGGAGGGATGGGAAATAATGACAGCCTTGAGGAAGCAGGTTCAACAGCTGGAAAACAAGAAAAATTAGTAGTGTGAAGCCCAGGAGAAAATATACTTCAGCTGAGCGGCTTTCTGTCTGCAGACCTTGGAGCCGTGACAGGATTTAAAAGCTGGAATCTCGAGATTTAATAGATGCTGAAAAATGCTGACTTAGGAGAGGGCCGCAGCACGCCCGGCTTTCGTTTCACCTTCTCCCTTTTCCAGTTCACTTCCCGCAGCCCCGCAGGGAGCGGGCGCAGAGCAGCTCGCAGCAGCCGCAGTACTTGGCCGGGCATTGCTGCAGCCCCAGCTCTGCCCTCTCTGCACCGCAGCTGGGGGGTGATGCTACAAAGGATGCTGTCACCAGGTGGACATGGCCTCATGGACCCGCAGTGCTGATCTCGGCACCCTCATGTCATGGTGGAAGAGGACAGAAGAAGTCCTGCCAACCCTCTTGCCTCCACTGTCTGCTTCCCTTTACCTGTTGCTGGTGAGCGGAGCAGCACGGGATGAGATTTAGACAGTTTTTCCCCACTCAGGGAGTTTATTCTCACGGTTGCTGATAGCGTGCGCAGTCTTCGAGGCTGCTGTGGTGGGTGTTGTCTCTGGGCTTTGCAGAAACCAACCTGGCAAGTGGCACCAGATGGGACTGGGGAGACCATCCCAAGGCCTCACTGATGGTCTTTGGCCATTTTTAACAGTAAATAAACAGTTAAAAATCTTAACATTTAAGTATGAAACTCCAAATTGTGATTTAAAGATGCACAATTAATCCTCCCAACATTTCTGTCTAGTAGGGAAAAATCATTAACTTATTTAGATTAATTATTGGGGAAGGAATAATCTCTCTGATTTCTTCTTGTACCTCGCCTACATAGTCTCTGGTGATGGGTGTTATTTCAAGCCCCCGCAGCATAAATAACATTAACTGCATAGTAAAGGTGGGAAAACAGAAGTAGAAATAAATTGCAGACTCCCCTGGGGACACGAGGTGAAGGGGAGCGTGGCAGACCCGAGGAGGAACTGGGCTCTCCTGCGCTCTAGCCAGTGGTTACTCTTTGCTATTTAAAACACACAAGAGCAGAGTGAGGCAAGAGTTAATGACATTATTCCAAGGGTTTCCTTACTGGGATGAGGACCACACACATGCTATGGCTATTGACACCTTTGCAAAGAGCACCATCCTCCCGTCTCCAGCCGAGCCTTATCTTCCCAGCAGCTCAGGAGCATCCCTCCTGCCTTTCCCTGCCGTGCCTCAGCACCGTCTGCTGCTGTGCAAGTCATTGCTGCATCACCGGTCTGAAGTCAGACTTCAGTATGTATTTATCTGTCGCCTTTGCAGGAACGTTTGCATTTTGCTGCAGGGCTGCTGCGGGGCTGCTCTCGAGCAGAGCATGGCTGTTCAGATATTTGGGATTCTCTGGGCGGTAGTTAGGTATGTGCCATATTCGTTGCATACGTCATCTAATCGCTGGATAGAAACAAAAACCACAGGCTTTATGCAACTCTCCAGCACTATGTGAGTTTTGTATAATTGCCTCAGACTGAGTGGAAATTATCTGCAAGCCAAAAATCTTTCACTGAAGCAATTAGCAAATCATTTTAAATAACAAATACAATTGGAATCTCACGATCCATTTGTGGATGGAGCTGAGGGTAAGGGTGAGTTCACTGAATAGGTCCTTTGTTTTCAATCACTTTTTTAGGTTTAGCCAATACACTCTGAGAGCAAGTGCGCTTCTCAGTGCAGTGACGGTCATTAAAGTTTATTTTAAAGCCAGGGGAACTGGAGTAGAAAGTATTTCTAGGTTGCTGCTCACTACCACCCTGCTAATGCTTTTATTTCGTGCTGTCTTTTAAGAGATCAGGTAACTGAGACCAGGTCACGGTTCGGTCTGCACTTCCTTGTGGGCATTGCCGCAGGACAAAGGGTTCCCGTTTATTCTGAGCTCCTTTCCTCTGGTATAAGGTATATACCAGACCTTCAGTGCTGCTGTCAGAGCGGTGCAGGGGCTGTGCTGGGAGCAGAATTCACCCCTGGGAGAGCACCTGGGTGTGCAGTGTCCCTGTAGCAGGATAAGGCGGCTTTCCGATGCTGTGAACTGACGTGGTTAATTGGATTTGCGTTTGCTTCCCATCCTTTTCTCCCCTTCCTTTTTCTTTCTTTCCATCTCACTCTTCCCTTCTCTAAGATTGGGCTTTCCTTGTTCACCTTGCACACCGTTTTCTCCCTCGTGTCCTTCTCCTCCATTCTTTGTTTCCCCTCTACCCGTCTCTCCCGTTCACTCATCCCCACCCTCTCCTCCGCAGGGGCAATGCCACCGAGAGCCTGTGGTTCAAATTAGCCCATGTGGCTCGGGCACAGCACGCTGCAAAGACACCTTCGGCCTCGCTGCTTTGGGGAGAGCACGGAGCGGCCGAGGATGCCTACGGAGGGACCGAGGACTCCTGTCTCTACATAAGCGGTGGCCGAGGGAGAGAAATGTTGGGACAGAGCCCTTTCGGCTGGCACAATACTCCCTGCACTGAGACAAGCATCGCTAACCATGGCAATAGCTTGGAGGCTTCTCATGTGGACTGTCATCTTCACTGCGGCTGTGTGCAACTTTCCCGGTTACACGTTCCAGTCACAAGGTAGGGATCGCCGTGGGGAGGGGAGCTGGATCCACCCACCTCCGCTGGCAGAAACCCTAATGCTGGCCCTGGGGGAGGTATTAGGATAATGTTGTGTTGGGGAGTAGGTGGAGACACCCCGAACTCTGCTTGCTGTACCGCAGCAGAGCTCCTCCTATTTCCGTTGACCTCCGAGGAAAGGATGTGTTTTGCTCTCGGTTGTTACGCTCCTTGACTTTTTGCAGGATTCAGAGCAGTAGGGTCTGTGTAAGATGAGAGCCGTGTACAGGCTTAGAAAGCGAAGGGCATGCGGTAGCAATAGAGGAAGCTCCCCTTCCACTCGGGTGGAGCGGCGCATCCTCGGATGAATAGAGGCTTTGTTACGAGGAGGGTTGTGTGTGTGCAGCCAGCCGGTGCGCTTGTGAGCAGTCCTCTGCGCGTGCGGGGACGGGGGTCTGATACAGCTGAGTCTGGATAGATGTGTGCTGCTGGAGGAGCAGTTTTAGTTTGTGCACACGTGTTTCGGTAAGTGCTGCCATTAGTAAATGCTCAAACCTGCTCAGGCCTGAGCACTTTGTACCTGTCTTGTATGTCTGGGTGTTTCTAATCATCTTGTGTTTAAATACAGAGGCACACGTGCAAGTGATTGCAAGGAAAGCAGAATGTGGGTCTCTTGTACATAGATTTGTGCCTTTGTACATGATTTTACTGCAGGTTAGGAGTGAAGGGACTGGAAAGTGAGGTGGACTGCCTTGTACCCAGCCTAGAGTACAAATACAGCACCGATATTAAGCAATTTAACTATCCTGTGTTACCTGCCTGCGCTGTATTTGTGCAATTTCTTAAAAGGCAACATGAACACTCCCATCAGGCACCAGAGGTAAGAAGAAAGGGCTCCTAAGTTAGACAGTTATCTGTGCGAGGTGTTAAAATCTTGGCAGCGTACTTACGCAGCCATAATCCTGAAATACCACGTCTGCCCACATTAATTGCAGTAGGACCAAAGTCGGCGATGTACCCGGGCTGTTGAGTAGTGCAATGCCATCGGGCTGTAGTTATGATGGCGGTGGGTTGTCTTGCGAAGCAGATCTGGAAAGAGGAACAAAGGCAACCGAAAGCCACGCACCGTCCTGGGTCTGAACACGGTCTCGTTGCTAAACGTGGGGCACTGCCGTACTGCAGCTTGCGCTGGGTGAAAGGAGAGGCAGTCAGACACAGAGCTGCGTGCTGTGCAGGCGCTGCGCAACGTGCAAGGTTACACAGGCAGATTTTCTTGAATCTGAAACAAACATAGTTTCTGGTCCTTTTCGTCAAAGCCTCTGGCAATGCCTGGGGTGACTGTTCTGGGCCTCCCGCGTCCATCAGTTCACACCTCTCTCCATCTGCAGCACTGCGTTCGCAGTGCAGCGACGCTCTGACGAGGACTTCGCTGCCAGATCGCCTCCATCCTGACTCACAGCAGCTCAGATCCTCCCTCGCTCACGAGTCCCCGCGTCGTTTCCTAATAAGCCTCGGTCTAAACCCGAGGGCTCACCAAAATTACAGTTAGCGCATTTGTGCTCTCCTAGATACTGGCTTCCCCTGAGCAGGTCTGGGGGATGAGCCTCAGCCCGTGGTGTTGCTGGGAGCGTGGTGCCATGGGAGCACCAAGCCGGGGATTGCAGCCCGTCCCCTCCCAGTCCCTGTCCAGTCCCGAGGGTCAGGCTGCCCCATGGGCCCCTCTTGCTGTCAGAGCCCTTTTTTAGGCTCCCTGCATCTGGGAACGGTTGGCGTCAGACTGTTGATGTTACTCAACACTTCTCTTCACCACGCTGCTGAGATAGTGAGTACATAATCCTCACAACACCCCTTCAAGAGGGTGAAGCACTGTTATCTCCTCTGAGCAGTTGGAGGCACGGAGAATAAAGGCCAGTGTTTTCAATAAGCCACTGATTTTGACCAAGTGACTTGCTCCAGTTAGCAGTAGAGCAGGATTCACGTGCCCCATGTGCACGACTCCAGATCAGTATATTTATTTTATGCAGGAAAAAGATTAAAGTATCATAGTCATAAGCTGTAATTATCTTTGTGGGAAATAGCAGCCCAGCACTGAAGGCCTCTTCAAGCCAGCAGAGATGTAACGAGATTCAGATGTAACATGTACACTCAGGCTGCAGTTTTTAACAGTGCAGGGAACAGCAGTTAAAACAATTGACCAAGGATTCAGCACATGCACACCATTGCTGAATGGTTTTTAATCAAAAGGAAATTTTTAAATTTCCTTAAATTGTGTGTGAGAATCTGCTTTTGCTGTAGTGCCGGTCACCATGCATCCTCTCTGGAAACTGAGGCACAGGAAGAAAGATCTAAGAGCAATGTCCTGCATCACAGGAATGTTTTAGGAAGTGATGCTTTAGAGTGGGGATGCCACATGAGAGAATTGGGGTTATTCAGCCTGGAGAAGAGAAGGCTCTGGGGAGACCTTATTGCAGCCTTTCAGTACTTAAAGGGGGCTTAAAAGAAAGATGGGGACAAGCGTTTTAGCAGGGTCTGTTGCAACAGGACAAGGGGGAATGGTTTTAAACTAAAAGATGGGAGATTTAGACTAGACAGAAGGAAGAAATTTTTTATGATGAGGGTGGTGAAACACTGGCACAGGTTGCCCAGAGAGGTGGTAGATGCCTCATCTTTGAAACATTCAAAGTCAGGTTGGACGGGGCTCTGAGCAACCTGATCTAGTTGAAGATGTCCCTGCTCACTGCAGAGAGTTGGACTAGATGGCCTTTAAAGGTCCCTTCCAACCCAACTATTCTATTCTATGATCCTATGACATTTTCTGTTAGTGCCTTAGTTTAACCATAGTGATAGATCAGATGTCCTCTGTTTTATAGAATGTTAGGTGAGGCTAATCTCTCTGCTCCTGGTTCACATGTAAACCAACGGACCCTTGGAGGATGTAATGAGACTGACACAATGCCAGGGCAGCCTGAAGCCGTTGGGATCCCATAGCGTTTTCCACAGCCATCCTTTAAGAATCGTGTCTGGGCTGCAGCTGGGGCTCCTCTTTGCTCAGGTGACAAGACCAGAGCAAACATCAGCTTCCTTTTCATCCTTTATGCTGCTCTGTAACCAAAGAGGTAATGGTAAGCATACAAGGAGGGAACAAAATACTTCCTCTTCCACTTTCACCTTCCCTCTCTTCTTTTTGTTCAGTTTAGTCCTCTGCCTCCCCTGTGCCCTTTCCCTTCCTCTGCCGTCCCTGCCACTGTAGATGTGTGCTCCTTTTCCACCAAAAATGGGGCAGCAAGGTACCTCTCCCCACACCCCATTCTTCCTCTTCCCAGCTTTCTCCCTTGCCCTGACCTGGGAGATCTGTGGTCCTCCAAGGGTGCCCGGTGTCCCACATAGCCATGGGCAGGTTTTCCTGGAGAAAGGCTTTTTATAGTATCTCTTCTGAAGCAGTTTGACAGCTCTCTGGAAACACCAGGCTGCTTATCACCAGAGTAAACCCTTCTGATACAGTGGGTGCAGTACTGCACATTTCAGGCCAAGATCTATTAATATAGCGTGAAGTGGCTGAGAGGGCAGAGGCAACATGATGGCTTTTCTAGAAGGAAGGAATGAAGGGCCAAACAGTGCCGCGCTTGCTGTTGGGAGCTCCTAGTAAGGTCTGTAATATGGGGAGCATGACCAAGGCAGAGATGAGCAAATGAGGGAATAAGGGAACATCTGTGATGTTGGGTGGAATACACAGGGTTAGGGGGTAAAAGGGGTCCTAATCTCTTAGAGTCTAATCTAATCTTTTACATTTTCAGAGGAGAGGAAGGAGCCAGCTGTAACCCTGGACAAGGACACTGGCTTCTTCCTTGTGTTGAAAGTCTCTGTTATTTTTTCCCATTTGTGGCATCCCCACTCTAAAGCATCACTTCCTAAAACATTCCTGTGATGCAGGGCACTGCTCTTAGATCCTTCTTCCTGTGCCTCAGTTTCCAGAGAGGATGCATGGTGACCAGCACTACAGCAGAAGCAGATTCTCACACACAACCTCACCCCCAGACTCTGGACAGGGTTTTTCCTCCTGGACATACCTGACCTTTTAGGTCAGGATCAGAGACCACAGCCCAGGGTCCCAGGCCCTTTCTAGCCACTGCGTGCGCAAACCTCCTTCCGAGTCACTATTTTGCAAGCCCATGTGGACTGCAGAGAGGGAAAAAGAAAAACAAGACACTTCCGATAGCAAATTTTTCCAAGCCTGAGGTCATTGCTTAAGTGCAAATAGTCACTCTTGTTTGCCTGGCTGCATCACACGCGAGGCGGTGTGATGCAGGAGAAGCTGGAGCACAGGAAGTTAAAAAACTAATAATTATTTCTGGCTTGTCGAGGCAAGGGAGAGGTGCCAGAAGTGCTTATGGTTTGGAAGGATGGGAGCTAACCCCTAAACCCAGCTGGTGGGAAGGACTGTCCCATTACCGGTGGCCAAGGAAACCACTCTGTCAGGCTCCCACACTGGAAAACACACTAGAGGAAAAGGAAACTTTCCAGTGCTGCCATGTGGTAAGAGTGTAATTTGGAGTCCAAATTTATGATGGCTGGGAAGGTTTTGAAGATGGGTGCTGTGGAGCCAGGCGAAATGCAGCCACCCTGGAGCAGCCTGGCCTCTCCCGTTTGCTTAGGAAACAACTACAAATAGGATGCAGGAAGCACAGTAAGAATATTCCGGAGTGAAAAGAGGGCAAATCCTCTCCCACTCCCGGAGCAAACCTCCAGCCATGAGGGGTTCAGAAGAACACACTGTGATGGGGGAGCTATCCTGTCCAGTGCGTGATTTTTTTACATCTTCCAATGAAGCCACTGGTACTGAGGGCTGTCAGAGACAGCTGGACCTCCGCTCAGATCCAGTCTGGCAGTCCCTGTGACATTTTGCTTGGAAAATGAGAAATTTCTGTAGAAGTTGCAGAGTGCCAATTTCTTTGACAGCCAAAAGTGTTGCGTTACCGTGTGAGTGCAGGCAGACGTTCTGGACAGTGACCTTGTCAGAGCACGTTTCCTAAGTGGTATGAGACAGGCTCAAAAACTCAAGTGCCCCAAGAGAAGGTGCTAAGCCAGGCTGATATGATAAAAAGCACCAAGCTGGTGAGCTGGGAAGGCAGGATGGTGTCATAGATAGAGACCTGGCTGGGGAATCGGGATGTCTGACTTCTTTTCTTGCTGCCTTTTCAGCACAGCTGGGGAATTCTCGTTACCCTCTTTCTTATTTCAATTGCAAGATTGGCATTGCAAGGACATTGTCTTTGTGCCTCTTAGGGGGATGCCCAGTACCTAATGCACTAATGCAGCTGTGATCAGGGAGGCTGGTATGGTGCTGTTATTATGCGAGTTACCAAAGCAGAGTTAGCAGGTCCACGTGGCAGCTGTAGATGTTCTGAAGAATCCCACAGTTAGTGAGACTGTTTTCTCCTGAGCCTTTGTTGCCGCAAGGCTCATTCTGGATCATTTTGAAGAGACCTTATTGCTAGCTTTGTTATTAAAAGGATCCAGGTTAAATTAACCCTCCAAACCACAGTGTGACTCGGCACAACCTGGAGTCCCTCTGCCCAGTGGAGATGGAGAGATGGGGGATGGTCCAGGTCCAGAGCCAGAATTTGGGTGTCCTGAATGGCCCCTTGGACCAGTCTGTTTCTCTCCATCTCCTGCAGAGGAAGAAGATTACGCTCCATAGGCTCAAGGCCTATTGATACCCCAAGGCTCTGTAGGCTGAAGGCCTTTGGGAATAGCCCAAGGATCCTGGACGGAGCAGACCCTCTGTGTCAGGACCTTGTCCCTCCTCCGTGCCCTGGCTGCAGCTTGGTTGTGCTCAGGTACAGCTGGCTCCGTGCTGAAGTCGCTGGGTGTTTTACTCTGACTCTCTTTGCAGAATGTCATTCCTCCTGTGTTTGCTTTCCCTCCCCAGAGGAGTTCCTCTCCACCCTCGATCACTATGAAATCGCATTCCCCATCCAAGTGGACCAAAATGGAGACTTCCTCACCTTTGACGTGAGAAGCCAACTGAAGCAACGTCCTCGGCGCAGTCTGGGCTCCTTGCCCTATGAGCCATCTGAGCAGCAGGTTTTCTACAAAGTCTCTGCTCACCGAACCCAGTTCCTCCTCAACCTGACACTGCACTCCAACCTGCTGGCTGAGCACTTCACTGTCGAATACTGGAAACGAGATGGGGTGGACTGGCAACATGATTTCCACGAAGACTGCCACTATGCAGGTCACTTGCAGGATCAATACCTGAACTCAAAGGTCGCCATCAGCAACTGCAATGGACTGGTGAGTCTCTGTATTTTGCCCAGCCAAGGGCAATACTAACAACTAGAGCCGCCCATAAAGCAGAGCTGACTGTTGCAGAAAGAAAAGACCTGTTGCAGAGCTCTGGTTGATCAGCAACAGCTCTTTCATCTTTGCTATAGAAGTGCAACCCGCTTTGGGTCCCAGCAGGTGGGTCCATGATGGTGGGAAAGGCATAGGGTTGGTGTCAAGCTAGAATATTGCACACTGGCATCAAAAGTCAGCTGAGGGTGAAGCTTCCTTCATTACATCTGTAGGGGTTCCTGATCCGTGTTTCGCTTGTAGTCCAGTTTCTACCAAAGTCAGTGGGCATTTTTCCATTGATTTTGATTGGAATGGAATAATCCGGGCTCTAGACCGTTATTCTGGCTCTCACAGAACTCTCCCCTCTTTCAACAGCAAAAGATATGTTTCACATGTGCTAGTGAGGAAGTGCAGGAGGGCAGGAATTTCACGGCACAACTGGGAATGTCAAAAGTGCGTTCAGATCCTTACAACTGCAGATACATTCCTGGGGTTCCCAGTCACTTCTGTCCAGATTTCAGGAGATAAAAATGTGACTTCTGGGGGAAAAACTGAAATAATCAGTTTTCTCAATATGAAAAAGAGAATGTCAAGAGGGGACAAGATGGCATTCCTCAAAGAGGGTGAGAATGATTGATTTTGCATGTGCTAACAGCTAGGTTAAATCGTGGTCTTAAATATCAGCAAGAAAGCTTAATGGTAGACATTAGTGGTATGGATGACTGAGCTCTGGGCTAGATTGCTTGGAGAGTACGTGGCCCCTACATTGTTGGAGATCTTTAAGAATAGGCCAGACAAATGCCTCTCAAAAATATTCCAGGTATGATTCATTAGCTCTTCCAGCATTGGGAATAGACTAAGGACTTCCATCCTTATTTTTCTGTGATTTTCTGATATTTCTGGCTCACAAAGCACATTTCATGACCTGCCAGATGGAGGGATGGAGCAAACATACCCTGTTAGCGAATCCCAAGGATGATGGCTCCCTTGGATGGGTAACATGTAGAAAAAGACTCTGTAGGCCAGATTCATATTTATGCTACGGCCCCACCTCTTAGCAGTATTCTGGCAGTGTGGAAGAGCTTCCAAATGAGAATGAATTCACGTTTGATTTATTGCTAAATTACACTGCCAGAACAGTGCTGTGGGTTATTAACAGAAATGAGAATCTGACTCATTATATCATAGAGTCTAATGTTTCGATCTCACAGCCAAAAATCAGAGCTGCACAAACTCTTGGTTCCCTGGTTAGCCCTTTGTTTAGATATGAGAACTCTGCTGAAGTCCTATACAATTTACTGGTGTTCACAAAAGCACTGAAGGGTGAGCTGGATGCTGCTGGCTCAGAAGGGATCTGGCATTAGCCTACCTTCCCACTTGAGAGGGCAGCAAGTCCAGGGCAAGCAATGGCCCGGCAGCACTTGTACGGGGATAATTTAGTCCACAGGCTGTGTTTAGCTCTGGAGAGATACCAGGGGCTGTCTGGAGGAAAATGCAGCCAGGCACAAAGAGGGACGGAGGGTCATCCAACAACCTCTCCTTTTCCTGAACTCTCTCCTTCTGCCCTCGAGAGCTACGGATATCAGCAAGGAGTGGGGAGGAGGTCTTCTGGGTTAGTGAGGAATTTGGACAAGAGGAGTCTGGCATCTTTTTATCTGGCAGAGTGGGGGCTGTACTTGCCACCGGAGAAGACCTGTTGCAGAGCTCTGGCTGATCAGCAACAGCTGATCCACTCGTGCCATCCCTCAGCCGCAGCACGCTCCCCTCCAGGCAGGCATCAGTCCGCTTTGGAGGGGACAGGTAGGAACAGAAGAAGGTCTCCAGGTACTGAGGTCTCAAGGTTCAGGTTCATGCTGACACGTGCTAAGGGGGGACTGCACACGGTGACCCGCATTTGCGCAAATTTGACTCACTGATGATGCAAATGGGGTTGTGCGTTGTGTTGTTGAATGGGCACAAGCAGGGACCAGGTGGTGATTACAGGGTGAGCTGTGCACGAGGAGGAGGGAAAGGGACGACTGCGTCTACGGAAGCGTCCAACAGAAAGCTGTGAAAATGGGAACAAGCCCCAAGCCATCCTCCTGTCCTCAAACTCCCACATCCCTAAGCAATTTCTGTGTCTGCAAGGTGTACCGCTGTAAACCGCTTTGTTTTCAAACACCCACGATGTAACTCACACCTTATGGCACCCCAGCTTTGGACTGCCAATATCTGGGCACGCTCCCATCGACTCCTCTTCCCAGCCACACGCACCGTCACCCTGGCCTGAGGGCAGGCAGGCAGCGTGGCTCACCCCACACATCTCCCGTGGAGGGCACGCCGTGCTGCGCTTCAGGCTGAGCAGGGGGGAAAGTCACCCAGGCTTAAGTTGTCGGAAGCAAAGGGCAAAATGGTCCATTTTCCAGAACACGCAGAGCCATGAGCTGCCAGCAGGGCCAAGCACGAAGCAGCTGGAGCCTGCAGGGAGCAGCCCAGGCAGCTTTGTCTCAGCCTGGCCAGGAGCTGAAATTAAATTTGTCTTAAGCAAAGCTGTGTTTCATCCCACTGGCTGCATGAGATCCCAAGGACCCATGTCCTACCGTCAAAAAAATCACAGCGAGGAGAAAACAACTTTAGGAGAGAAATGCCACTCTCTCACCTCTTGTGTCAGAGCTCATCGAAGGACAGCTTAAAGGCCAGGCTTTCAACCCTGTGTGTCCATGCTGAAATTGTGTTTTCACCTGAAAAGCCCTCCTGAAGTCAACATGAACATTAAATGCTTGGAGCAAGGCAGATGGCCCCGCTGCTGAGGCTAACGTCGCGCTGCTTGTGTGTATGTACGAGGAGGTGGAAGAGCTGAATTGCAGTATGTGGCTGTGCTTTTCTTAAGTGTGGTTATAAGCTAATAGCATAAACCATCCTTGCTCTGCAGATGACCTGGGTGAATCATAGACAGGATATCCAGTTTAGCTCCCCCACAAACCACAGGGATCTCTCTAAGGGCTTCTCGCCGCCCCCTTTCAACAGGCGTGTGTCACGTCCAGCACCCGGACCTCAGAGCTTGGTCTTTGGGGTCAGCGATGGGGCAGTGTTCAGACTCCAGTGACAGCTGAGCTTCGTTGCCGAAGGATGCCAGGCAGGCGGTGGAGCCTCCTGCCTCTTGTGCTCTGCAGAGGCTCCGGGTTTAAGTAAGAATGGCCTTTTTCTAGCGGTACATGGTTTTCAGGCAGGACGTGCTCTCCCCTCCTGCTGCTCTGCCCCAAGCCGGTGGTGACCTCCTTCTCCCCGTCCCACAAAGCCGGCAGCCAGCTGGCTTCGCAGGCCGACACTCGGCTTTCCGCCGGAGCCCTCGCCAGGCTAACCTCACAGTACCTCGCTTGTGTTTGAAAAAGTGGAGCTGAGCCAAGAGCAACAGAGCCTGGTGCAGGAGGAAATCCCCCGGCACTCTGGAGATGGGGACTTCGCTGTGCACACACTGCCCTGATTCAGCTTTCACGGCAGGGAGGGAGAGGGGGAGAGACCTATTATGGAGGCAGCATCCACCCCAGAGAGGCTCTCCCCCACGAACGCCCAGCAATAATGCTGTTACGCAGGTGGTGCCTTCCATGCAAGGACCTCAAGATGTTTTACAGAGACCTGCTTCCCCACTCCCCGTCCTGGCAGACCAGGGCTCTTGTCCCCCCTGCATAGCGGGGAGCTGGTAAAGCGCTGTGACATCCAAAGGACAACACCGGTGTAGAGCTGGTGGCAGAACGGGGGTGTCTGCACCCAGAGCTATGCTTGCATACAAGGAGTGGGAGGACAGCCAGGTAACGTGGGTCTTAGACTTTTGGGATACTTCTTGTCCTGCTTGAGCAATGTCAGGCATGTTTCTGTGCCTCGGTTGCTTGCTGGTAAAGTTCAGCTGATAGCACACCCACGTTTCTTGGAGTTAAGTGAGATTCAATGCCTGGAGTTGTTACAGCCGTGGAGCTGTAACTCATATCACGTTGGGCTGCCAGAAACTTTTTAGGTTGCTCAGACCTTTTAGGTAGAGGGAAAGCTTGCTGTGAGGATAGGGCTAGCTGCAGAGGAGAGATCTTGCAAGCACCTGGTGGGTTTGGCTGCTCATCCTGCTGGGGTCTGCTCCTGCCCAGTCCTCGCTGTCTCACGAGTGGGTCCACTCACAGAGAACAAAGTCTGGGCTCACAGCTGAGATTCATTCAGTCAAAGAATAAAATAAGGGAGAACAACAAAAAACAAATAAGGCAACAGAAACAGGTGACTGAGGTGGCCAGTCAGAGGTGTAAAAGGGGCAGGGATGCCTATGGGGCACAACGCAGGTTTCAGGCTTCAGAGAAAGATTGTGGCTCCTGCTGGTTGCCTCAGTGTTAATCAGACTTCAGTTCTTAAAGATTCAGTGTGTTTCTCAAAAGCCTCTGAGCACCTACGCTTCTCTGCAGCTCTGTGTCCGAGTTTCCCAGCTGGCGGTAATGGTCCTGAGCTGCCTTCGAAGGTTCTTCGGTGAGGTTGAAAAGTACAGCAGGTAGATCTCACTGCTGAGTTGTGCTGCTATTTGAAGGTACGGTATTGAGGATCCCACAAACAGCTCTCAATTAGTCTGAGTGGGTGGAATAGGAAACTACTTATTCATAATTTTGCAAGGAAAGACTGTGATTTCCAGAGGACTTTAGTGATCACAGATGTCCCAAGGCATCTACCACCATTTGGCTCGGTTTTCTCTGGTCTGTAGGTTCATATAGTTCAGTGTTTGTGCATAAATGAAGGATTCCTTCACATTCTCAAAAGTATTTGTCAGTTCCCAGAAATTCAGCAGTTAATCATCAGAAAGCTCATTACGAGAAGCCACCAGGATGTCACCCAGTTCTCCCTCTACCTCTTTTATTGCCTTCCATCTCTTTCCTTCTATAGCATGGGGTGATCGTCGCAGATGAGGAGGAGTATTTCATTGAACCGCTGAGCCCGGGAGCCAATGTCAGCACAGGGAGCGAGGGCAAGGGCAGCCCCCACGTCGTGTACAAGCGATCGTCTCTCCAGTACCCACACATGGATGCAGCCTGCGGCGTGCTAGGTATCTGTACCCACCAATACATCCTCAATCCATCCCAGTGCAGGCTGGGAAAGTCCCGGTGGACCAGGCTTTGAAGGTCCACACTGCTCTATATGGCACAGGGCCAAATTCATCTCCTGCATTCAAGAAAGTTTTCTGTATTTACTTTTACCCATGTTAAGGATTTCTGGTGGCCTGGTCTTTGGAAAGCTCTTGTACTCTCTTCTTCGCAGCAGGGCTTTTAAATTTGTAAATAGAGTGTGGAATAGAAGAGAAAAAACTGCCTCTTATTGTTCTTAAGAAAAATCCTCCCAGATTTGGCTAATTTACAAGGTATTGAGAAATCGTAGCTTACACATGCTCAGCAGAAACTTGTCTTTGGGTTTTAGTCACTGAAGATTGTGTCCACATTGAGATACCTCTGCTGCTCTTAGAGATGCGGGGTGGGATGTGGGATCTGGTTAGTCACAGTGGGCTCTGGGAGACATTTATAGGGAATGGCAATTGCACATCTACCCCATTTCTACACTTACAGGCCTTTGACTTCCTAAAGGATTCACACAGGTCTGCCCTGGCCTCTGCCCACGTGCCTGTGCCCTTCTCATCCTTGCTAGCAGTCAGTCTGTGTTCCAGAGCCTGGCTGAAATCCCCGGCCCTTGTGAATGTGCAAAGTTTCTCCATCTACCCAAAATGTTGCATGCACACAGGATGCTGCTCCCTCAGTTAACAGAGGTTTCCCCTGGCTCCATAAGGGTGAGAGGAGATGCCATCCCCGCAGAGGGGCCAGCTAGCATCTTATGGATTAGTGTTTGTAGATGCAGCAGCAGAGGTGTTGCCAATTGCTCCTGGCAGGTTTGTGTGTCACTTCAGGATGTTCATCCAGTGTCCTAATGGTGACACTTGACCAGATGAGGAGTCACTGCTAGAAGGGATGGAGCCTCTGGAGACACTGGGGCACTGCCAGCCTGCTCTGAGCAGGCTCTGACTGTCCCCAGACCTGCCAGCATCTCTGGAGACAACCTGTGCTTCCCTGGCCTGGCTTCTCCCGTGGCAGCTCCCAAAGTCACGTTGGACAAAATGCCAGCAGACTCCCCTTCCGCTGACTCTTTGCCACATTCCCCGGCTTCCAAATGAAAGTTAGCCTGTTCCTAATTGCTTCTTGGAAAGCAAAGCCCATGCAGTGGCAGCCACAGGCCAAATACCGTTCAGAACAACCACAGGGCAGCTGGCCCCAGCAAAGCCGCCCGGTCCCCTTGCCCCACAGGCTGGACCTGTCCTGACCTGCCCGGCAGAGCTGGGCCCCGAGCACCCCTGCGAGTTCCCTCTGATCAGCCGGAGGGGACAGAGCTGGTAGATGGGGCTGCCTCTCATGTGCCCATCTTCCCAGTCTTGTTGGACGTTTGATGATCCAGCATCAGAGCAGAGGAGTGGGATTCAGCCGGCTCTCCTGACAGGGCAGGAGAGTGGTGGTAATCTCCCAGTCAGCTCTCCTGCCCTGTGGTGGTCTCCAGGCCGTGGGTTTGGAGCTGATGGCCCTGCTGGAGACATCTCTAGGGTCGGGTCAGTAGCACTTGAAGCCTGGAGCAAAGTCCTACAAACCTGCTGCTGCTTCTGCTTTGGAGGCTGCAGCCATTTCTGTGGAGGAAAAGCCAAGTCCTAAATTCAGGTCCTGGCAGGAAAAGGAAAGAGGAAATGATCTGCAATGGCTTTATTTTCGGATTATGTCTGTGTAGTTTCTAAATCCTTCTTCCCTGCGACAGCGGCGAGGGCAGGGCCTTGCAGCGTGCAGGCAGTGCAGTGCCTGGGGCTGCGGCAGCAGGACGGGCAGGCAGGAGGAGGGCAGGAGGGCAGGCAGGATGCCAGCGGGGCTGGCAGGAGCACGGGGACGGCCCTGGGCTGCAGTAGGAAGACCTCAGCAGATCCGGCCGACGGCAGCAGGGGCATTTGCTGGGTCCGTGCATGGTGCATACAGAGCCTCGCGATGGCCTTTCCTTCCCTGAAACCAAGCTCATACTGCGCACCCCTCACCTCTGCGTGCTGCTGAATTGCTGCTGGAGGGCAACAGAAAAAT